ATTATATATAATATTATAATTATTAAATTAAATTAAAAAATTCCTTAATTTAATAAAAATAAGAGTTCTTATAATAATTCTTATTATTAACAGAGCGAAAGATTCTTTCAATATGTCAATATTAATATTATTTGCGTCTTAAATATTCCATTTATGGCGTTCTAAATTTGTATGAAAATAAACCCATCGCACGCGGTGAATCAACTTCAGACATCAGGAACAAGCACATGTAATAATAATGGTGCATTTTCGCGGAAGCGTTTAGATTGATTTCCCGAAGACGTAACGAATATAATGTCCAAATTAGTCATAAATATCTCTTTTTACTTTGATATATATAATAAAAAGCTGTGCTTGTTTAATTTTTTATTATGCCATATAATTAACGTGCTTCGCATACAGCCACTAACGATTGCTTCCAGCAATGTCAAATCTTACATTATACATAATTACATATTGGAATTGTTATAAAAAAATATATATTAAAATATTGAATAGTGCCAATTGCACAAAAAGTGACACTCTTTCCCATATTTGAAAATTAATATTGATACTGAAATGATTCGGAAACATGACGAAATATCTCGAATCATCGAATATACAATATAATATTCTCTAGATAATTCTCTAGAATTTCAATTTTGTATGAATTGCTTTTTTTATTAGTTATAATTCTTTAGTTTCTAAAATTTTGTTGTTAATTAAACGAAAAAAAAAAATTGTAAATAAATAGTTCCACATGCTGAAGATATATGTATATATATATGAAATTATGCTAACGATGCAGAAATCCACAATCTATTTCTCTCTTTTTCTGAAAGGATATATTTAACAACAAAGAATTATTCATGATTGATAACGTGTAAGTAGAGGGAGAGCAATCTTTTTACATTAAAATTTACAAAATTTTCTTGATAAGCGCGTCACATCATGTTGTGATACTTATTTCAATTAGCGTTCTTTATATAAATAATTACATGCGTTAATGATCGGATTAGATTTGGATTTATTATTTCTCACATTATATCTTCCTTATTTTAATATCATATTAATTTAATTAGTTATCATTTATTAGTTAACTAACTGTTTATTAGTTGTTCTATTATAATTTATAACGTTATAATTCGTTCAAGTTATAATAGAAAATATAACAGATTTCTAAGAATCATCTTACTTTCGTGTTACAAAGGACGGTATATTGGAATCATATGTAGTCAAACTTAATAAATAATAGATGTAATGAAGAGTTATGATTTCGAACCAATTTATCGGTTAATAGGCTGATGAGGATTAAGTATAGTCGAAATGTACCATTGAAATTTATCGTAAGAAAATTATAATTTGTAATTAATATTTAGTATATCTAACTATAACTCGTTATATATTGACCTAGGTTTTACTATTTATTAATTTGTTGTAAGTTATACGAATGACAAAAAGAATTGATATTATAAAAGAAAATGTCCAACTTACTTTCTAAATTACTCTCTTTTATATTTTCTCAATTTAGATTTTATATACATGTATACTGTATACG